CATAAAGCCAACTGGTTAATTTTAAATCCTGCTCAGAGCTGCTTTGCTGCGGTCCCCATCAATTTGTAATGACAATGATAGACCAAGTTTGGGGAGCGGGTGGTGTTTCAGAGGAACTTTTCTCCAGTTGTCCTTGTGGAAAAAGAAATGAGGAGTTTCTGGCCAGCAGCACTTTAGAGTCCACAGGGAGGTTGGGAACTCTTTGTTTTCCCTGATCTGGAGACAGGGGCTCCCACAGAGGGGCCCAGAACCCTAAGACACTTTCAGAAAAGTGCCTGTTCCCCTGCATATCATGTGCTGAAGTTTTGGGGGATTTTTTTTGAGACAAGGTCTTGTTATATAGTTCAGTGTGGTTTTGACCTCACCAGGCATCCCAGAATGACTTGAAACTCACAGCAATCCACCTGCCTCATGCTCCTCAGTGCCATGATTAAAGATGTGGACCCCATATTCCGTTTATTTATGCTGAAGTTTTACAGCATAGTGAGATCCTAATCTTCATCTCACCAAGATGTACCACCCCTAAGATATCTATTGGTGCATGACAATGTCATAGGAAGATTTTCTGGAAACTCACATGTACGCAAACACACACACACACACACACACACACACACACAAACACACATACACACACGCACACAGAAGCCTGCACACATACACATATAAGAGGATACAAAAGGCTTACAAGTGTATTCTGATAGATTTTTCTTTCTTTCTTTTTTCTTGCTTGTTTTTTGTTTTTTTTAAGACAGGGTCTTTCCATAGTTAATGCTAGGCTTGAAATCATGCAGCCCAGGCAGGTCTGAAACTGACAGCAATCTTTCTACCTCAGACTCTCAAGTCCTGGGATTAGCGTTATTTGCCAGTATAGCTGGCCACATTATTTTTTTGAATATGTACTCACTATGTACTTCAGGCTGACTTTGAGCTCAATATTTACCCCAAGATAACCTGGAACTCACAGCTACTCTCCCATATCATCACCCTTCATATTGGGATTATAGATCTACCTGAAAAGTTCTTGTTTTTCCTGCAAGACAGGATCTCTTTATGTAGCTCAGACAGACCTTAAATGCACTACATAGGCCTAGCTGACCTCAAACTGATGATGGTAGTCTTGCCTCAGTCTCCTGAGCGCTGGGATTACAGTTTGCTTCATGCCTATTTTGCCTGTCTGATACTATCACATAGGAACTTATGGATGCCAAATAATTGAAGGTTATGTCAAAGTGCATGCAGTTAGCACATCGAATTGGGCTGTGATTGAACAATAAATTGAGAACACGATTCCAATTCCTACACCCATCCACCCAGGCATGCCTCACATGCTGGTTTGTTCTGCACACACAGGCCCATGCTTTTTCCTCACTCTCTGTCTTCCTCTCCTTCTATTTCTCTCTTCTCCTTTTTCTTTTCTATTTTCCATTACCATTCTTAGTTATACTGCTTAATTTGATTTCATTTATTTTTTTAATTTTGAGGTTACTAAATTGTCCAGTGTGGGCATCAATCGAATATTGTCATTTTTTTGTGAGTTAATGAGATGAGAGGTTTGGCCAAAACCTTCACCATAATTGGAATTTTCACACTTTCTTTGGAAAACACTCTGGAATGGAAAGCTCATTATAACCATGAATTACCTGTATGTTGGTTTTAGTACAGCAAAAGGGTATCCGGTACCCTTTTCAATCCTTAAAATGGCAAACACTTACTGTAGTTGTTTCAGATGTTCAGGACCTGGGTCAGAAGGAATCAGTAGAGAAACCAACCCATCTAGGAGACAAAACCAATGTAATGCATTCCCAGGATAAACTTTGATAATGAGGCCTCTACTTCTGGAAGCTCTGAGCCCCTGACTCTATATAAAGCCCAGAAGTCACCTTTCTCTTGCCATCCTGGAAGCCTCCCTCCTTGACTTTGTACTTCCCATGTGTGCTCTGCTCTCAGCAGCCCTCATTGTGCAGAGGCTGGGATCTGGCTCCCTAGTGTGAGGGGCTGTAATCAACCTTTTATTTTTCCAAAGCAAATTTCTTGGTGAAAGGTACCCTCTGGAGGCTCTTAACTCCTTGTTAATAATTATACAACATGGTGACTGCTGGCCATGATGAAGTATGCATGTAGTGCCAGCACTCAGGAAACAAACACAACAATAACAACAACAACATAATCAACAAAAACAAAACCTTAGGAGACAGCCAAAATTCTTGCAAATAGGGATCTCTCTAGCTAATTATTGGATAATACAGTATGTGATCAACAGTGATGGTGTTTTCATTTTGCAAATGGAAAAACCAAGCTGAAACAACAAAGCAAAATACTATATCAAATGGTGTTCAAACTATGATTATATTTAAGTGTAGGAATACTAAGAAAAGGTGGCAACATGACCATCATGGTGACCACTGAACAAATCAGGTTTCTTTCCATTTTGTGAATGTTACATTATAATATCATTTATTTATTCATGATATTTAATTATTTTTGAGACTGAGTTTTGCTATGAAGCCTAGGCTGATTGTAAACATGCAAACTACCTGGATAAACGTTTCACCTACCCCACCTTGCCAACCCTTGTGCTGGAATTACAAGATACAAATCAGACAAAACTTCAACATAGCAAATATTAAATTCTGTAATTTCATCTTCAGTGTCTGGGGCAATCTATGGCAAGATGTGAACCCCAGAGGATTTGGTTAGCTCTGCCCCTATGGCATTGCTAGAGGTTGTAACTCTCATGGCTTTTCTGCTGGGACCACTTAAATCACCCTTTGCAGCTTTTCTCAGACTAGCCATATTTCTTTCTTCTCCATTCATCTAGATATTCACACACCTTTGGCATTACACTCATAGCTTCACAGTGCCTTCTCCAAGGTGTACTGCATGGCATCTCAGTCATTCTTCCCAAAACCGGACAGAATCCTTCCTGGATCCCCAACTTAGATTCTTCATGCGCTGAAACACAACATGATGTGGGTAACACCGAGTTGTACTGCTAGCTGGAGCAGTACTCTGGCTTTCTTCATTCTTGGCTGTAGTGATTAAGTGCCTGGATTGCTGAGTAATGTGAACCCTGTCAACAGGAACGTATTCTCTGGGCTGCTACCATTCTGAAACATTCTGGGGACTCTCTTTTCAAAGCATAGTCTCACTTTTTAAATTTTGAAGTTGCAAGACCTGGAGTCCTGCTGGTTGTTTTGACAATTTTGGATGTATTTTCTATTGTCCTGTGCTGAAATACTTGGCTTTTTATTGCTACTCTTTTTGACAACTAATTTTTCCTCTGTTCTATGTTTGAAGCTTCTAACCTTGCTGTAGCTTTCTTTCTGACTAAATTCAATGAAGTAATCTGACAGCCATAATCCTAGGCTAATCAGAGAGCACTTAAATTTTTTCACACTGCTATGCCTTTAAATGACAGCTGATGTATATTCAGGGCTTGATAAGGGACAGTCAGTCCTGCTATAACCAGCAATTCACACTCATTACATAGCCGTACTCGAAAAGCAGCCACGTCTCACCATCATTTCTCACGTCTTGTCCCTGACAGGTACCATTTCTTTTCTCTGAATTCCCCCCCTTGAAATTCCCATTCCTGTTCCCTTTCACAACTCCCTTCTGTGTTGATAACTGCATACAGGACCTTATGGCCAGTAGAGAGCAACTGTTCTGGTGTAATTTTCACGATCATCCCTGTCAAGTTAGTTTTGAAAAACTCCTGTCCTATTGCATTTGTAACTTTGATTCTTTGTCTTATATTTCCTAACACTCAAAATTTTAAAGATAGTTATGTGGGATTCTTGGCTCTTGATTTTAAATAGACATCAGGTAACCAGCCCCAATCACCAGCCTTGCTATGTCCTCAATATTAGATTGCCTTCAGATGTCTTCCATGAAATTAATTAGCCCTCTAATCTTTATCTCAGTTTCACACAGAGTTCCCAGAGAAAAATGATGACAAATTATTTGCTAAAGCTTAATTCAGTCAATGCAGACTTTGCTCTTAACTGAAACCTCCTGTGATTGTGCTAGGGGCAGGTGTGAATTGTGTGGGAAGCACTTCACAAACAGGTGCAACCTGACCGTGCATAGGCACAGGCACACAGGCAAGTGACCCTATGCTCCACCTTTCACCTGAAAATTTTTGTTTTTCCTTTGAGAGAAGGGCTCATTTTGTAATGTAAGTTCAGGCTGAACTTGAACTCACTATCTAAATTGATGGTGATAGTGCTGCCTCAGTGTCCTTGTACACTGGGTATACAGGCTTGTTCCACGTCCTATTTTGCCTTTCTGTCACTATCACATAGGAACCTACTGATGCTAATTATGTGATGGTTGTGTCCACAGGTATCCATGCAACACATTGAATTGGGCTATACTTATTGGGCTATTACACAATAAGTATAAAACATGAGTCCCCCTCACACCCACCAATGCACACCTAACAAAATGGGTTTATTCTCTACACAAACAGGGCCAGGTTCTGTTCCAGCTCTGTCTCTCTCTCTTCCTCTCCTTCCTTCCCTTTTCCTCTTCTTTCTTTTATGCTTGTTCTCTTCCATTTTACATTACTCAGGATGGAAGCATAGCCACTGTATTGCTGAAATATATCCCTAGTTTTTTAATTGGGTGTTTTTTGTATTTTGAGTAAGTTACTAAATTATCTAGTGGTCTCCTATTTATTATTCTCATTTTTCTGTCCGAGATGATGGGATTAGAGATGAGGTCAAAATCTGGAGTTTTCATATTTTTTTTGTAGAACATACTCAGGAATGTAAAGGTTATGATAGCGAAGAATCATCTGTGTGTTGTTTTGAGTACAGCAGACGGGTATATGGTGTATTCTTCAATCCTGGAAATGGCAAGCCCTTGTAGTTGTTTCAGATGCTCAGGACTTGGGTCAGAAGGGAGTCATCAGAGAAAGCAACCCACCTAGGAGGGGGAGCCAATGTAATCCAATGCATTATGCTAATGAGGCCTCTTCTGAGGGAAGGTCTGAGTCCCTGACTCTATATAAAGCCCAGAGGACTCCTTTCTCTTACTCCCATTCTGGAAGCCTCCTTGGCTGTGGTGGAGTTTGCCTACATCCACTGCTGGAAGTGACTTGTGGACACACAGGAGAGAAGGTTAGTTTTCATTGTTTTGGTCTCTGGTTTAGGCCACTAGGAAAAATAGGAGAGGGAGACATATCTGCCTTAGGTGTTCTTGGTATTGCAGTCAGGATAGTGGTTTAATAGTCCTTCCGAGGACAGAATTTGATTTGGGTTGGAGAAATTATGGAGACTTGGTGCTTTGGATAGAATGGGAAGGCTGTACCTTTAGTCTCTCACTAAGAGTTTCTTTCAATATTAGGAGGCAGTTGTCAGCAGTGGGTACAGGTAAGACACTCAGAACAATGGGAAAATGGATCTGGGGAAATTTTCAGCTCAGAGCTCCTGGACCAATTGTAGAGGCAAAGTATACTCTAAGTTAATTTATAAAATATTGCAAAATATTCCTTCATGTCTCTAGTTTAGTAATTTCCTTTTTTGTTTTTTGAGACAGAGTCTCAGTACGTAGTTTGGACTGGCTTAGAATGGAGGAAACTCTCATATCTCAGTCTCCCAAGTGTGGGGATCATAGACATAGGTCACTATGCCAATTGGTAAATTGAATTTTTAAGAGGAAAGCATACTATTCAAGATTTTCAAAAGTGTTTTTTCAAGGTTTGAAATAGCACTTTTTGATCCTTTGTTTAATATTCCTCTGGCAATATTGTGTTTTTGTGTTCTCAATATAGTCTATGGTGATTAAGTTTATTATCTTTTTATGAAAGCTTGTGGTGAAGTATCCTGTTGCTGTTTTCAATGAAATCATTTTGTGTCACATTCTACTCATTTTTCCATTAGAACCTTTTGTTACTTTTAGGTAAAGGAATAGAACCAGAATCTTCTCACCAACTCAGTTCTCCAAGACTTTTAGTTTTATGTTGCAATTGAGTCTGGCTAAATAATTCATATGTTCTGGAACTGTATATATGGGCCACCACATCTGGCTTGGAGCTTATCTTCTTATAAGTACATTGTATTTATTTAATTTTTTTGCTACTAGATATGGTTTTGCTCTTTTTCACTAATTTCTAATTTCCTATTTTCATCATGTTTTTTCACTATTATAATCACTTAAAATCGTCATTTTCCTGAATATAGGGTTTGCTTTGCTGCCAAATTGAACATAAAGTAGTCTACCTTTTACTTACTACACTTACTGATTTCCACTGGAATCTCAGTTTAGATTTCAAGGTATGAGACTCAAGAACATCATGAGATGGGTTTCATAGTGTGTATGTGCATTTATTTTTTGAGACAGGGTCTTGCTGTGTAATCCGGTTTTGTCTGGAACTCACTTTATAGTTCATATTGGCATGCAACATGTGGTGATCCTCTTGCCCCAGCATCTTGAGTGCAGGCATTACAATCATGTACTCACCTTTCCAGTATATAGAAGCCATAGTACAGACCATGCTTAATATTATTAAGAAGTTAAATGTCCTAGATGCATTTCATGTTTTGAAATTATGAGGAAGTGGAGATGGAAAATATACAGCTTTGTAGCACAGAGCTTCTGAACTTGAGGTGTGGTTCTATGATAATAAACCTGTTGCCAATTGAGCATAATTTCAAGTCAAAGCTTATTTAATACATCCAACTTACTAAAGAATAAGGCATAGCCCAGACTAACTTAAACATCATAATAAATCTTACCTTAACCTATAAATAAGCAAAAGTTATTTGCAAAGAGGGCTAAAATTCAGAGATGAATTTTTGAACACTTTTACCTATCAACACCTGCAACACATTACACGGCAGTGTGCAGTTGCTCACCCTCATGTTCCAGGGCCTACACAGGGTGATGGCTTTGCTGTCCCTGCCCAGGACCTTCAAATATTATCACATCACAAATTATTAGCTGGTGAGACAGGAAATTATGTCATCCAATAAGATTACTAGTGTGCCTGTGTCACTGTTGTATCAATATAAACAATTATTAATTCCAAATGAAATTTGCAGACAGTCTACATGTTTAGTAACTTTTATATCCAAGTACATGTGCTTTTTCCAATTGTTTCATAATATATCATGAAGGTTTCTTGATGAGGGATGTTCATTCCAAGTACGTGAACTATGATAGATGTGAAGGATCAACTTGTTTTTGACTTATGTGCTTATTACTTGCCCTGATACTGATCTTGGTCCAAGCATACCTACTTAGACTTCTCAGGAAAGGGCTCTCAAGGATGTGTTGGGCACAGACTGGGAATGGGGACAGCTGTGTCCCACACAGGGGACATTTCAGCCATGTGGAGAGTTCAGTGATGTCATTCTCTGTCTTCTTCAGGGAAAGAGAACCTCGTGGACAAGACCAATAGCAATGGACCCCCGCACTATCTCAATGGAAGAGGGGAAGCAGATCTTAAAACGATGTGGGATTCCACAATATGATGTAAGTGCTGAAGCAGAGAGAGGAAGGAAGTGGAGTTAGTTCAGGTTCAACTCTGAGGTGGGCAGTCCTTCAGTGACTAGAGGTGGGCAATCCTTCAGTGACTAGAGAAGCACTTAATACAAGCTTAATGTGCAGGCACTCATCATTTACCAAGGGCATGGACCAAATCAGGATGTAGAGCACCTGATATAACTGCTGAAACTGCACAGAATAACTTAGGAGCTTACCATTAATCTTTTCACCTTAAGGGGAAACCCTATTTGAGGTCATAACCTGACTTTTGGTGGGCTGTGGAGCAAGAGAAATTTCAGTTGATTACTATGGAATCCACAGATCAAAACATTGGAAATCCACTTATCTTCTTTCCTCCTGAGGCTACTTCCCATCTACAGAATTGAAACAGTTCCTTCTATCTCTTTTTATTTTCTCAGATTGATATGTTGACAGAGAAATGGGAAGTTGATGCTTCTGTGGAAGTTATGCTGAGGTTTCCACTGATGCCAGGGGAGGACCCTACAGCCCGCTGTGTGTCAAATAAAAGCCATCACCCTTTAGTGGTGCAGCAACACACAACCTCTGAGAGACTTGGAGAGCAAACCAAGAGGTAGGGTGACTATCAGGGAGTGTTGAAGGGGCTTCCTGCAGGTGTCCTATACACAACACAAATGTGGGCTGTCGAGGTCACCTTAACATGCTGGAGGTTTCTGCCCCTATCCCTCACCATCACACAAATGTTTAGAACTGGACTGAATGGTGTGAGTTAATATGATTAACGTGTTGCGGCTGTTGACCTGTCAAGTTTTGGAAACTTCTATGATTGCAGAAGTCTCCTGTGAAATGTAAAAAGTGTGCATTTGATTCTTACATAATTGGATTTGATAAATATTCTTAGAGGTGCAAAACCTGGAGACAGTGCTGGGAAGAAGTGCAGATTCCAAATGTTTTATGCATGGTCACACATCAATTTTCACCATGTGTATAACAGATGGTGTTTTCTCAGGCAGGATCCTATGCTAGGAGGGGCTAGATGATGAGAAAGGGTGACAGGCTCACTGACAAGCACTGAGAATATCGGATTCTAGTGGGTGTGGCAGAATGTTTATTGAGAACTTCTCATCCCTGCTTGGGGAAGTGAGCACATGAAGAACTTAGCTAGTGTATATACAATGTGTGTTCTTTATTAGGAGTAAAAAATCCAACAATCAGCCAATCAGCAGGGCTGAACAGAAGCCCCAACCTATGGAGCAGAGGCCAGGTCTTTATGGTCCTCAGAAGATTCAAGCACCTGAAAACAAGGACCTGAAGAAGCAGCTGATGAGATCTGTGAAGCCTAAGGTTCTTCCAACAGAGGGGGAGGGAACCATGGTGAGTGGATGCTTGGGAGTGTGCAGAAGAGAAGGAGAGTCTTGTACCCTTGCATGTGGGTTTCAACATGGCCCCCATGTCTAAACTGAAAGTTGTCTCTAATCCAAGTGCCTGTGGCTTGTGTTATCGCTGCCTAGCTGACAGGCCCATTCAGAGATTTTGAAGATCAATCTCCATGTTTATTTCATATTTTGTTGGGACTCATGTTGCTTCCATACTCAGACTCTTCTTAACCTCTTTGCACACTGAATTCATTTTTTCTTGAATTTCTCTGAAAAATTTGCTCTTGGTAGACACAGAACATCTTGATCCTCTTGATTACTCATAGACCTAGGTCTATGTCACTTCTCTCAGATGGATACGCAAATGCTAAATTGTATTCTTGCCTTAGTTTTTGAAAGATTCCTGTGATATCAGCTGACTCAAATGCCCTCTTTTACCTACAGATGCAACACAAGAGCTGTGGAGCTTTTGGGCATAAGGAAAGAAACCAGATATGCCCTATGAAGAGCTCCGGTGGGACCTTTCCTTTCTTGCCCTTGAGCTCCAACAAGGAGGATAAGGAGAATCTGAACCCAAAGAATCCTCAGCAACTTCAGACTCAGGGACCCATCAGTAACCCAGACAGAAGGAAGAAACACACTAAGGTGAGGGTCCTACAGGATCAGAGTGTGCTATAATACTGGGAAGTGAGGATCCAATGCCTCAACCTCTGCTCTGTTTGTACAAGTATCAATAGCACAGTGAAAAAAAAAACTGCTTGGAGAAGAGAGCAGCCTGACCTCTGTGGACCCCTCACTGATTTTGGTACTGAGAATTGCTAATGGGCAGGGGCTATGAAATATTTTGGGATGCTTGCTATTCATAGCAGGCTGTGGAGAATTAAATTCTATGTGGAAGTATGCAATGCTGAGTCCTGGGTAGGGAAGGAGGATCTTCCTGGGGATGGGATCAGCTTCTGAGACTAATAAGTATGGGAAAAATCAGGCCGGTTCCATAGGGGCTTGAGTTTCTCCTTCCTCTCCTGCACACAAACATCAGGACCTGGCTTCAGCATTTGTAGATGCTTCCTGTCCCCTGTGTGTTCAGAAATTAAAGTCCTTCCTAAAAATTAACAGCATCTATTTTGCAGGCAAGGAGGGTTTGTAGACAGAAGCTGAATCACCTGTGCCATGCACACAGTCCAGTCTTTCCCACACAGTGCCCTGAGCAGCTGCATAGAGTCAATGGAATGCAGTCCTTTTATGACAGTGTGTGAAACTGGGTGTCCCTGCTGTGGTTATTCCTGTGTCCTTTACAGACTTTTCTTCTGTGCACTTCAAGTGGGGAAGTTGGTAAAACCTAGGTTGGCTCAGAGGAGTTCTACTTCTCTTTTATAAACCTTAGTTTGAAAACTTGTGTTCTGTTTGAGAAATTGTCCAACAAATGGCAGTGGAAGAATTTTAGTACAATAGCTAAGTGTTTAATCGAATGTTGTCTCCCATATTATATGAAGCCATGGCAACTTTCACTAAAAGTCCCAAGTTGCCCCTCAAATGTTCTTGTGATTTACACAACATTGGGAAAATCTTTTGTCTCCTTGACTTTCCCAGCAGGCAATATGATGCAATATGAGCAAACAGTAGCTCATAAAAATCAGATTGATATTGTAATTTTTCCTCTCCCTGCGCCTGAAATGAGACTTGTCATATATGGAATGTGGCTGGATTTTTTACTGTTTTTAAATTTATTTGTGTTTCTCCATTAAGTGTTAGAACCATGGGTCTTTGTACTAAGACAAATACCCAGAACTTCGTATTTTTTTTTTCATTTGGAGCTGAGGTACCTCTTAGTTTGTCTTTTGCTCAGACTGTAATCAAACTATTCTCCTGCATCACCTTCTTAGAGTGCTGGGAGTATAGACAGGCACTACCAAGACTTGTGTGTAAAATGTAATTCTATATGTGCATTCTCATTTTATCAGTTTCTCCCTTTTAATAATCACAATATGGATTTTTTCATATTTTCGTCTTGGTGGTTGTACTGTTTTACTTTTTTTTTAAATTCACCCACTCACTTTTTGTTATATTTTCCATCTAGACATGGGTCAATAGGTCAGCTTTCATGAAATGATGCTATTAATGGACTGACTAATGTGAGATTTCCTCTCCCACAGAAACCTACTAGGTCACTGTCTTCCCATGTCCCCAAGACCAGGTCAACTCTGAGTTGTGTTTCCACATGGGAGGACAGACTTCACCAAGGCAATTGATGTGAGCTCATTCATCCCTGCACATTCTTACAACAAAAGATCTGAGAGGAGCATCTGTGCACCAGAAAAAGATTAGAAGTGAATCACTCTAACTTTTCAAATTTTCTTTCCAAGAACTTCTACCAAGACCCAATTCTATGCTCCAAGACAAACGGCTGTACATTTGTTAGGTCCTCTGATGATGTTCCTCAGAGTTTTAAGAAGAAACTCACACCCTAGGTCATGCCCTTCATGTCCACACACATATCACATATCCACATGTAAAATCAAAGCACATGTTAGCATCTGTTAGGAAAAAGTGCAATCAAGATTTCCAGTGTCAGAACCCAGGGATAAGGCTGTGTCTGGCTCCAGTGTGACACATTCCAAGAAAGGAAGCCTCACCTATCCAGCCTCCTAGCTGAAGGCACATTTACCTCAGGAAGGACCTGTGAAGCTTCCTCCATTGCCCAAAGGACCTAAAACTTAAAGTGCAGTGTCCAGTCCCAGGTCAGCCATACTCGTGTTGCCTGGGCTCCTCTAGCCCCTGTAATCAGGACTGTGTTCCAGTGCTACCTTACAGTCAAGGTCCAGCGAAACACAAGGAAACAGGCTCCATGAAATGTGACAAGGGCTGGAAAAATTCCAACAAATAATGTTTTCCTCCTTTCCATCTTACTGTGAATCATCCCCCTGATGACCAGACTCCTCACATATTAAATCTTGGCCAAGTTCCAGCTGTCCTGTATGAAGACAATCTTGTTTCTTCTTCATCTGGGAACAGTGACTGGAGGGGTGAGATCTCTCGGCATCCAGCCTGCTGTCACTTGATGTGATCAAAAGACCAAGGAGTGTAAAGTGGCCATCAACAACTAGGTCCTATGCATCAGTAATTCCTGGGCTATGGTGACTGTGAACTGGGGAACTCCTGATAAATTAGAGATAAAGTATTAAAATTTTGTGAATTAAGTTGCATTTCAAATAGGGCTTAAGATTGTCTTGTAAAATTCCTTGAAATTTCCACATAATTGTATGCTGCACTTGGTTAACAGAAGCCATGAAATAACCATAAAATATAAAGAGAAAACTATGAAAATAATCTTATTCTTGAAAAACATATAACATCTGGACAATAATGGGAAATGGTCCAGCTGAACCATAAGTGAGCAAAAATCAGTGCAAGCCTAGTACAGAGGAGTGATGTGACAGAAGGAGCCTGAGCAAAGTAGTGTTTAGTAAAAGCCTGCATCAACATAAGAATGAAAGAGATTTGAAGATATATTTCAGTGTAAAGGGCTGTGACTTTGTTCCTGTCAATGGCAATCAACCAATCAAGCAACAATCAAAGATACATGTATTATCAGCAGAGCTGAGAACTCTGCATGTTTTTAAGAGCTTTTTGTGGGGAATCTAAAAGTTTTACTCTGTGAGAATGTTTTAAATATTCTGCCCTAAAAAATTTGCAGAAATGAGGAAAATTGTTCAGGTATTTTTTTTGGTGAATTTAATCAAGAACTTATGCATTTCAGTTCTATACCCGAATTTAGAGAAAGGCAATGACTCAATTTATTTAAAGAATGTCATTTAATACTTAATTTCACTGGGATAAGTGTATATCAGCTTATCTTGGCATAGTGACAGCAATGTTCTTGAGGTTGCAGTTATTGCTAGCGTGAAATGGATTATGTAATGTTCTTCAATATTTATGCTGCACAGCTCACAATATGTAAGTCCTTGTCATTGTAATACCACAAGGAAGTAGTAGCTATCTAATTTTTAAATTGAATTCAAACAATAAAGGGATACACATTTAGCATTTTATCATTTTAATTTAAATGTTATTAATATTTAATTTGAATGTTATTATAAAATTATATTGGATTAATTTATTTCAATATGAATAAAATTTTGTGCACTCTGACATGTATTACTGGTGATTTTTATTTTTAGACCAAGTTTTTTTATATGAAATTACTAATGAGTCATACTTTATGATTAACAGTGCAAGATAGAGAAACACACTGCTTCTAATGCATCACATGAGTTCTTTTGTAAAGGTAGCAATCATGAGTATTTCAATGCTTTACTAAATGTGAATGATAATTTTATGAAATCCACAAGATTTGTGACAGAAAAATACCTAGCAGTGGTAGAAATCACGTAACTCTGTCTGTACTGTGGACAGTGGCACCTGGCTGAATGCCCAGATCTGGAAGTCCCCCTTACTGTCTTCCCCTGAAAAGAATATTTGCATTTCATGGGTTTCTAGATCTCTGGACTTGAGTTTAGCACCACACGCATCCAATCGCATTTCATCTCCATAGCTACCATCACAGCCTCTATTTCTCTGCATAAGCGGGTCACTTACATTGGTGGGGGGGTGTTGGTACTTCTTGTTTGCATGCCAGAAAGGGTGGGGTCTTTCTGTTCCAGTCCAGTGGTGGCAGGGAGCTGGTTCCCAGACTGGGCTGGATTGCTTGTGTCACCTTTTACTCTCTACATTCAGTCTGTGAAGGTGCTGACTGATAGGCACAGGCTGGGTCTGTTTGGTCTAATCTGGCAGTGGGCGACACATGATGCTGATTCCCAAGGAACTGCTTTTTGATATAGATGACTCTGGTGATCATTGTATTTAAGAGCTACATCCTAGAAGGTATCAGTGGCCTGGCCAAGTGCCCCAGACAACTCCAACATTGAAATTTTCCTGGTAGGCAGCTCTTTGTCTTTTTTGCTGCCACCAGTTGCAAGTAGAACCTCTTCAGCACCAGTGGTACTTCCTCTGCCTTCACTCTTCTGTTGGTGCCCCCATGCCTGGCATTATATAAATTCCACTCTTCTTCCTGAGCCTGCAGGTTCTGGCCCTTTTACACCAGTTGCTGAATCTTCCCATTCTCAGTTGTCTCAGCAGAGATTCTCCATTGGTGGAAATAGTCCTGTATCTGTCTTGGTGGCTGTTTCTAGCACATATGGCTTCATGATTCCATGGTTGATGGAGCTTCATATCATGTCATCCTCTGTGGGCATGAGCTTCACATTCCTCTTTCACTTTGACTGTTGAAAGGTAAAGACGTGGGATTCTCTTTTTTTTATTTTAAAGAGGGTAAATTAAAAACAAAACAGATCATAAGGAAACAATTTTAAGAAACTCGAGTTTCAAAGCAAGTGCACTGGAGATGTTCACTATCCTATTGTATCTTATTTTCTTCCAAATAGTTGTCCACATCTTCACACACAATTAATACATACTGAAAATTATAGTACTGAACTAATCAGAACAGGATGATGAAGGCTTTTAGGTCTTCAAGACCAGACAATGGGGAAGTCAGCAATGGCTGCTATAGTGTCTCTCATTCTCTTCGAAATAGCTGTCCATATCTTTCCATATGTTGAAGTTAAACATAGGATACTAGGCTAATATCACTCTGAACAGTGAATAATAGTATTGCTAGATTTTATATCATAATGCTACAGAATTAGCACTGGGCATCTTAGTGTCTCTTCTTCAGAGTATGTGTTCACTGTATCATGCATTATATAATTTGTTCTGGTAATTTTAGAAATTCTACACATGTGTGAATCTCTATTGGATCTATTGAATAGGTATCTCTAATATGGATACCTATTCTTTCTGAATTATAGGGAAAAACAGATCAAAACAAGACAACAAAACAAATTCCTAGAAAACCATGAAACAAAAAAAACCATAAAATTACAATACTAGGTGATCTACAGTAGTTACTATGCTGTCTGTTATATTTAATAGAATTGTCTACATCATCAGGCATAATATAATTGAGCATAGCATTACTTAGCAATTTTAATAAAAACTGAACTTTGGAGATATTGCAGGACTTCAAAAGCAGTTAATAATCAAACCAATATGGGTATCTTATTGCATCTTGTCATCTTCAGAGTAGTTGCCTCTACTCTTAGACTTGATACTACCAAGCGTACCAAATTCGAATAAAATCAGTCAAGGCAAAACAGGGTTCTAATAAATCAGATTCAAATAAGATCAGTCATAGCAAGGCAATGTATGTAATACAGGACTTCAGTTTACATTAATAGGAAATTAAGGATAGTTACCATAGTTTATCCTGCTATTTTTGGGCTAGTTGTCTGTGCCCTCAAATCTATTATGAGTAGACAGACTAGAACAGAATAAAATCAAACTAAACAGAATGATAAGACTAATGTGGATTTTAAACCCTGATACACTATTAGCAATGTCTTCTGCCTTCCTTTTTAGACAGTTGCTCCCCTTTCCCTTTAGCAGGTGTGCTTTGTATATTTTGTGTAGCACTAACTCCTTCAGTTTTTTAGATTAGGGGTGCAACCCGTTATCTATCTGAGAGGTGCTAAACCTTTTTCCCAAGATTGATCTTGAGCTGTATTCCTTTACTTACTAATGCCTTAAGGTTTTCTTTCCTTATAGCTGAGTTGTTCTCTACTGCACAAAAGTTTCATGACTTTCCAATCTATCTTCAGCTGCTGGATGAGTTGTCCCTGTTTTTCTCTGGTTCCCTGTCACATAGAGCATCATTTTCTCATCTTTGACTTTTGGATTATTTACCCTCTTTCAGGTTGAATCTATTTCCTATTCAGAGCATCTTGAAGGATCCTATCTCCTCTACTACTCTGCATGTGTTTCCTTTGTTAGTGTATCAAGGCCATCTATGTTAGCGATTATAGCCAACCTTCTCTGCCTCATCTCTGTTATTCTATTTTTCTGCTATTATTTGTCCACTTTTCTTCTTCATTCCACTGCCTGCCCCATTCATTGAGGTTTCTCTGCCACTGTTGCTGGAATACTGGTTTTCTTCTCTCTCTCTAGAATGTTCTTCAGTATTTTTTGTAGGGTTGGATTGGTGGTCAAGAACTCCCACAGTTTCTCCTTGTCTTGGAAACATCTTGTTTTTGCACTAATTTTGAGAGAGTTTTTCAGGGTATATCCATCTGGGTTAGAGGCTATTTTCTTTCAGTACTTGGACTACTTTACTCTTGATTTGATAGTTTGTGTTGAGAAGTCTGTAGTTATTTTTTTTTTATTTAAGAGGAAAAAGAGAAAAACACAAAACAAAACAAAGCAGTGTGAGGTTACACATAATACATAACTACAAAAAAAAACATAACAGTAAGAAATCACCTGTTAATAGATTACATAATATCATCTTGGAAATAGTTGCTCAAATCACAGTATCAAAGAATACAAAGTAGACATTCAGACGGAGAGACTGCAAACAGCTGTGTTCAATGATCCAAAAACATTAATATAGTCAGCTATTTAACATCCCTAAACACACTTGTTGTTATATCCGTTAGAGCTCTTTTTTTTTCCCCTCCCTCTCTTTTTTATAACAAAATTTATACATTTTGGATTTTATTACTCCTCAGTTCTCATTACTCTCTTGGGGGGGAGAGAATAAAGTCAAATATGGCAAAACAAAGCTGTAAGTCCAAACCAAGGATAGACATAGCACATGATGTAGAACAGAGTACAAGGTCATCAACAATGGTTATCAACATTGTCTCTTGTTTCCTTAAAAGGAATTGTCCATCTCATTAGATATTATAAAGCCGGACAAAACAGTGGAGAATGCCTAAGTCTGTAGTTATTTTGATGGATTTTACTTTATAGGTAATCTGTTTCTTTTCTCTGAATGCTTTTAATATTTTGTTCTTGTGGTGAATTTCTGGGATCTTGATTATTATATATCTGAGTGTAGATCTGTTGTGGTTATACTTGGTTGGAATTCTGTATGCCTCATTTGTCTGCATATCATTTCTTTTTCCTATGCTTAGGAAGTTTTCCTTAATTATATCTGTGAATAGCCTTTGTAATTCATTTGTGCTTACTCCTGCCACTTCTCTCACATTTTTTATTCTTAAGTTATAGATCCTCTTGTTGTCTTCTAGCCTTTGTATTGTTACTTTCTGGTTCCCTGTATTTTTAAGAGGTCTTTACTTTCATGATCACACATTGCAAATCTACCTTCAAGTTTTGAAATTCTAACTTTAGTTTCTGTCAAGGCATTTTGCCAGCTTTCAATGGAGTTTTTAATTTCCTAGTAATCTCTTTGGATCTGTTTCATGTATCTAGATTTTGTCTATATTCTTCAAAAAATGTTTCTCTTCTTTTTCTGGGTTGCTCCAGATGATTGCTCTATCTGTGTCTTCTTGAGAGGGGTTTAGAATTTCTTTTATTAATCTTTTTATATCTTGCCTCACTTGGATTAGAATTGCAGTTTTACATTCATCTATGAGATCAGGAATGTATTGCTTTAGGTCCACAGATGCTTTGCCTGATATTGCATGATTCCTGCCCTGGACCTCTTCTGTATTTACCTCTCCTGAACTTATTTTTCCAGGGTCAGTGGCTGGAGGCTTTTTCTTATTTTTTCTCTTGTCATGTTTCTGGTTTCTTTCAGACAGCTATGTGTTGGAGGTCTCAGGCTCTCTCCATATTGCTTACAGTTTTTCTGAAGCATGCTGGATGGGGGCTTGCTGCCTTCTACAGTTAGTTATCTGAGGTGCATGAAGGATTGATGCAAGCTTGCCCCTCTTCTCTGAACCAGTCAACTGGTGAGTGCCTTCAGCATGCTAGTCTGTTGTGTGCGGACATCATAGGTTTGGGACAGTTTCATCCCTGGCTATTGGGTCCCAACCAGGGGTGTGACCCAGCCTAAGCAGATCCCACAAGTCCTCTCTGGGTCAGTGGTGGTTGACTGGGCCACTGTGGTTCTGGGTTCAGCTCCTTCATGCCCAACTCCAATATGTCCTCCAGCTGGCCACACCTGCCACGGGACCCAATTTCCAGCACTCACAGCTCTCCACCTTGGCTACACTCTATGCTGTGGCACATCCTCTTGCCAAGGGCCTAGGAATCACCAACTCCAAATTTCTGCAGC